TACCCTTGAGGGAAGTCTCGACCAGGCGGAGGTAGAGCGCGCTCTGCTTGTTGCCGTGGCTCATGCGCTGCCCGAGCCCGTCGCGTTGCAGGACGCACTCCTCGAAGCGCACCACGTTGGGGTGGTGGCGGCGGAGGCTGGTCAGGGCCCAGAACTCGGCCAGGGCCAGCTCCACGTTCTCCGGAGCGTCGCACCGCAGCCGCTTGACGGCCAGGCGGGCGCCGCTGCGGCCCGACACCGCCTCGTAGACCACGCCGTAGGCCCCGCGGCCGATTTCCGACACCAGGCGGTAGCGAGGAGGGGAAGCCAAGGCGGCTATGACCGGCGGAGAGGCCTGGCTCGGAAGGCCGACCGACCGGCCTTCCATGGCGGCTGAGGCGCCCCTCAGAAACGGCGGCGGTGGCGGGAGCCGCTCGCGCTCGGAGCGCCTGAGGCGCCGTTCCGGCAACCTTTCTGTCCCTCGGCGGACGCCGTCGCCGCCCGTTTCCATAACAACGCCGCGGCGGGGCCTAGCAGCAGTTGCCGCAGCCGCCGCCGCCTTCTTGGCCGTCGTGCTCGGAGTCGTCGCGGGCGGGGAGCGCCCCTCTTCATCCCGCCCGCCCCGCCGGACCAGGGCTCGACGAATGCTCACGTTCGCTGCTTTTCCGGCTCGCTTCCTCGCCCCTCGCCTGCCTGCCCGGCTGGCTGGCTGGGCTGCGGGCGGCCGGCCGGAGGACGGTAGTTTTCCCCGAGCGGCTGAGGGGAGAAAGGAGCGAAAGTGAAGGAAGGGTCGGAGGGTAGAAAAAGCGCGCCTTGTCTACCCCTTTAAAATGCGCCCAGCCAATCGCGGCGCTGCCCACCCACCGAGGAAGGAGGGAACGGGTTGAACTATTTTTCCGAAAGGAAAGGGAGGAAAAAAAAAAGAAATCATGAAATCCTCCATCCCGCTAATCTAAGGAGTCTCGCCTCTTCCGAAGTGTGCTCGATATCTCTTCTTTTTCTTTCTAAAAACAACCACACTGAAATGTCTCCGTACGGCGAACCCGACATTTGCAGTTGTCGTTAACCACAGCCTCCCCCCTTTCTTTACAATGGTCTGCTCCCTTCTTTTCGCGGCAAATATTTCATTCATAGCTTCTGGGAGGCGGGACGGTCCATTCCGTCTCAGGGAGAGGGGAGAGTAACGAGAACGAATTCGGGTCGCTCTTGCCTCTTTTTTTTACTTTAGGAAAGTCCTTAATCTTCCTCCGCAGTAGGTCAATCTCCCTCCAGGAGATCCAGACGTGGGGGCAACGGTTGGATTAATGGAAACCTCCCCTTCTATTATTTGGGGTTTGTGTACTGACCCGTTCCCCCCCCGCCCGCGCCTACTTTGGCGATCCCACCGCCAAGCTCTCGCATGAATGGAGGTTAGAGATGCTTGGCGTCTTTTGAAAGGATAGAGACGCGGAGCTGCTGTTGACGGCCTCGGGGCGAAAGCGGAGAGGGGGGCCGGTTGCATAAGCGCCTTATGTAAGAGTTCTCGTCTGTTCCCGGAGAAGGGAAAAGTGGGGGGGTGGGGGCCCGGACAGGCACCTGCTAAGCCGCACGAAGAGCCTGGCTGGATGGAGGAGAGGAGATCCGCCTGGCCGGGTCCAAAAGGCGCATCAACTTTTTTTTTTTTCACCCCAAAGAAAATAGCAGACTTGGAAGGGACCTTGGAGGTCGCCTAGTCCAGCCCCCTGCTGAAGCAGGAGACCCAAAATCATTTCACGTAAATGGCTGCCCAATTTCTTCTTCAAAGCCTCCAGTGTTTGAGCAGCGCCCCACAACTTCTAGTGGCAAGCAGTTCTGCTGGTTAATTGTCCTCCCTGTCAGGAAATGTATCTATTAGTTCTAGGTTGGTTCTCCCCTTGCTTCTTGTCCTGGAAAAGTCACTTGACAAGCCTATAGGATGCCATGAGTTCTCCACTCCTAGAGCATGCAAAACATTTGCTAGACCTATACTTGAATACAACTCATCAATCTGGGACCCATATCATGTATCTGATATTAACACAATTGAAAAAGTCCAGAAATATTTCACAAGAAGAGTTCTCCGCTCCTCTACTTGTTGCAGAATACCTTATGCCACCAGACTTGAAATTCTAGACATAGAAAACCTAGAACTATGCCGTCTTCGGTCCAATCTAAGTATAGTATATAAAATCATACATTGCAATGTCCTACCTGTCAATGAATACTTCAGCTTCAATCACAACAACACAAGAGCACACAATAGATACAAAC